CTTACGCACCTTATCGTCATCATTGATTCGATTGATGGTTCGACGAGTAAACGGGGCGAGACGCCGTTTACTCAAATTGCAATCGTTTTCCTCAATCGTGCGAATTTCAACGGACGGGACTTAGCGACCGTTCGTTAACAGATCCGGACGGCTGCTTGCACCAACATCACCCGTTTGATCATCACCCGATTGAACTTGAATAGCTTCTTCTTCTTCTTCTTCTTCTTCTTCTTCACCTTTGTGGATTATGGATATCGTTCGGTAGAAAAAAAAGCGAAAGTGTCTGGAAAGAAAGAAAAAAATGGCGGTACCGGTCGAGATTTAATATTAAACCGGTTTTGTTGGTGGAACTCAGGCTGGATCTGGGAATACATGCGGAGCCGTGAGGCGTGGCGTTACGTATACACCGACCGCGTATATGTGTATATATATTTTTGGATAAAGCCACGAGAAGAAATTTTAAATCGAAATTCGGGCGGGAACGAGCGAGAAACGTGATTATATCTCTCGACGGACTTGCAGCTTCTCGCAAAATTGGCGAGACATTCTTCCTGAGAGCAAAAAATAGAGAGAGAGAGAGACCGATAGAGTGAGAGAATGAGAGAGTGAAAGAGAGAGTAAAAGAGCAATCGAGAGAACTTTCACGTACGTCGCTTCCCCCCAAATGTATTTATGAATATTTATTTACGCGAAGAATGGAAGAAAATTTAATATATTGATGATTAAAGAGGCGATCGTAAGGTATAAGTGTAAGTTTTCTAAGAGCCATAAAACATTTGTAAAGCACTTTTGCGCGCGTCAGTCGCGGCACAAGTTCGGAATGTAGAAGACAGCGAAAGCAATGGTATAAAAAAGAAAAAAATTTCGTGAGTACGAGAAAGATAAAACGGGGAGCGATTCAATAATAAATTTCGTTCAGGATACGCGGACGTGTCCACTTAAGATTGAAGTATGCTTAGAGTATGGTAGTGAGTATAATGATATACATAAGTAATAAAATAAAAATGATTTTAGCTATCGATGATTATTATCAATGTAAGAATACATTTAGACAAAGATATGTGGTAAGACAGATGTAATTGTCCTTTGTGAATATACATAAGAGAGAAATGAAAAATACAAAAAACTTTTATGAGTACAATTGCGTTATCTTTATTCTCAATGTAATTAAAATTCTCCCGTAACAAATTTGAATAAACTATAATGGACCGTTATGTAATACTATATTTAAAACATTTAATAACTACTATAAAATTATAAAAATATTAAATGTAACACGTAAATATATCAAAAGTCAATAAATAAGATTTTCATTTTTTATTAAGTAATTCTATATAATACACTTAACGATTAATTCAGTTTTCCTTCCCAGTCAAATGGTGACCTTGGTTGCGAAATAGTCTCCTTCTTAATATTCTCTTTCATTTCAAAAATTATATGCCTGATGGTTGGTATCCAATAACGGCAAACTTGTCCATACCGCGTCACAAGATGAGTTTGAATTCGGTCCGCTTTTTCCAAATCTTTATTTATCAATGCTAAAAATAATATATTTTCATATGTCAGATGGACATGTATATGCATATATTTGTATAAATAAAATTATATATTTCACACTATTGATGAGTCTCTATGAATAGCGAACTGTGAATCATGAAATATAAATAATAAATAAATCATACATAGTCTGACTAGTTTTAGAATTTATTATCATTCTGAATATTGTCAATTCTCAAATTTCTTAGGAACCTTTCGAGGAATCTTTAAATCTGTGTGGAGACTGATTCTTCTTTCTTAGAAAGAAACAAAGACACTTTGAAATTTTTTTAAGTGGATGTCTATGTGAATCAATTGTTTTTTATAAAGTTAATCTATATCAAAAAACAGGTAACTTTTTTATCTGAAACATTTTTTCTTCATACCATTTCTTCAAAAGTTACGAGCATCTAAATTTTGGATTAAAAGAATTTGATTAAATTGGAATATTAGAAATTTATTGGATTAAAGAATGACAAAAAATGATAAAAAATCTTATTAGTTCATGTTCCATTATGCTTATAAACGAACTTATAACTAGATACAAGAAATTTAAAGAAATAGACAAGAATTAAACAAGAAAATTGTTATTGACAAACTATTATTACAAATATAGTTAATAATATATGCAAAGATTATTGTTTACCTCTTGACATATTCAAAATAAGTTTCTGTACTTTATCATCTATGTTGTCTGCACGCCAATCAGAAGCCATATTATCTAGCCGTTTTCGTATCTCTTTATCCTTAGTCTTTTCCATATTTTGCAGTGTTATCATAGTTATCAGATTTGTCAAGACCTCTTTCAAAGCATCATCTTTATTAAAATCTGGTATCGATGTATCTTCTAAAAGGTCTTTATCCATAGGAGCCAGAAGAGGCTTATGAGGTGCTGTGGAAATTGTACATGGAATGGGTAACGTTTCTGTTGAAGGTGGCAAATGGCTAGTCTTCACTTGTTCTGGAGAAGACACTTGTTCTGAAAATAACGGAAACGATACTCTTTTGTTCAAGAGTCTCCTGGTAGACGTCCCAGATGAATTATGCTGCGAGGACAATGCCCAATCTGGTGGATCGTTCCATCCAGGATCATGAGTAGGCGGTAATGAGTTTTGAGTAGAAACTGTATTGCTCGACGTGGACCAGAACGAGGCACTGGATGAGGCACTAGACGAGATATTGGATGAGTCAGACGTTCGTTCTGTTTCCATGTTTATAGGTTAAGGTCATTCAAACATCTGCAAAAGGAAAAGATCGAATTTTACGCAAATCACTTTCACCTCGACGTATGTACGGAATAACATTACAAGTGGGATTCTATATTGTCGATCATTTCAAGATGCACATCTCGTTCGCCAAACATTAATTAGATCGAGGACACCAAGACTCGGTCTCCCCTCAATTCCAGGAACGACTATATGGTTCCTTTTCATGGTTGCCACCTTTCCGATTGTCAACTGGAGACTTCGACTTTTAGTATTTTTTTGGAATCTCTAGCAGAAAGGTTATTTTTAATGACTTTTTTAGGCATAATATAATAAAAATTAGAATGTAAATATACTGAATACATCAATAAAGCTGATCTTTGTTAGAGTGTGAAAGCTAGACAGTTCCTTTCATAAGAGATGATTGGATCTTACCATCTATTATCTATATATATCTTATCATCATTATCTCATCTTGTTCTTTTTAGCTGAACTTCTTGCTCGTTTTCTTTCCTCTTTATCTCTCTCTCTACGTTGAAGAAAAAAAGAAAAGAAATAAACGGTACAAAAAGTTCAGCTAAAAAGAATAGACCTTATGAGTAACTTAATCAACCGATTAAATTTACAAATTATCAAAATTTAAAACCAATCACTCTTAATCTAATTTTTTAATTATTTTAAATTAAAGGTGTTATTTAATTATTATTAAAATATCATATTTATAAGTATTTATAAGATTATTTAATAAATAAATCGTAATTTGCTGCAAATAGACAAAAAGAATAATACATATGATCAATTTTAGCAAATATTGCAATTAGTTATTAAATTTAATCAATTGATTAAATTAATCGTAAGTTGTGAGACCGGCTCTTAAGGTACTTTCCAACAAGAAAGAAGTTGCGTTTACGAAACTCATTATCAGCGCTATTTGTTATTAGTATTGTCGAGGAATTAATGGATAGCACTAATCAAACATTATCACGACATTATTGTCGGTAGCATTTTACATCATAACTTCGCTGTATATCAATGTTGTCACTTCCAAAGTAGTATTGATAACATTAATGATTTGTTAGAAACCTTTAGTGGAATGGACATATCTTTTCTCGTCTTGTGAACATTTTTGAATTGCCGGTTACGCCTGTATTTTTCCTCTGGAATAAGACAGGTATCAATAAAATGAAAGAAAAAGAAAATAGCGTTAGCGTTTGCGAGTTCTACAAAGCGGTAGCAAGCGATAGTGTTATCTTAGCTCCAGCTAAACAGAGTAGCGCTATTTTAGATTTATAAACAGAGTGAATGTTAACGCTGATAACGTGGTAATAAAAGTTCCCCGATAATCGATAGCATTTATATAAATCCAGTTATATTATATCACCATTTAGTTCTTGTTTAGCATTCGATAAAAAAACAAGGAAAAAAAACAAAGAAGTATGACTAGACTATGACTTGTATCTAGCTGTTACTGGAAAACATCTATAAATAATAAAGCATATCGTTTAATAAATAATGTTAATGAATATAATACATGTATATGCATAAATCCTCCGAAATTGCCTTTACGTTTACGACGATGTTGCGAAGGCTTCGCATATTGTAATTTGAATCTTTATTGCCGTTGCTGCTGCTGCTAACGCGATGTAACGATGAATTCTGAATCACGTTCGAGTTGCACGACAGTTTTCGAGAACTTGGAATACTTGCGTCACACAGTCATTGCTCAACAACACGTCCACAATTGTTGGCCTTCAAAAAAAGAAATCAAGAAATATCTTATTGTTTTTTTTAATCGAGAATATGAAGCCTTTCACGCCGCTCATTTCACAAGTCGTATACACAAGTCGTAACAAGTCAATATTTCTTTTTTTTTCTTTTTTTATAGGAAAGTAAAAGAAAATTTAATAGCACATATATAGAGGTTCAAAAGTACTAGAGGTTCAAAAGTATTAGAAAAAAAAACGAATAAAACTTGATTCTGATAATAAGAAAGATATAATGATAAATATACAATGGAAAGCAGTTATTTTTATTTCTTTTTTTTGTATCTAAAAAGCAAGTTCTTAAACACAACTTTTTGACACATATAAATTATGCTTATTGTTGAGAGTTAACCGATATAATCTATTCCTAGATGACATGCAGAATTTGTAGCTGACAAGTATTTTCGAACTTTTGTAGACACTTTTAATTAAAATTTATGTCTAAAAGCAGACGGATACATATTTTTATCATGTTCAATCACACGACGAGTAGTTCTTTTTTCCCGGATTAACGTTATCTATTTCTCAAAAGTTATATAAAGGTTGCTTTAATTATAAAAGTATTCACTGCGAGCATTACTTATACGACGCAAGATCATTCGGGGTCATCATTAATATTTATGCTACGGCACAATAGATCCAAGTTGAAGCTTCGTGGCAATAATTGTGCGCCATTGTATTTATTGGTATAAGCCCGTCGGGGGCTTAGTATATCTCTAGTATAGATCTCTCTAAACTTCGAATCTCGCTTGTGAAATCCGAGGCTTGCGGTTCGCGAATTTACAGCTTAAATTTCTCTTCGAAAATGTTCCCTCGAAAAGCTAAAGATCGTGAAATTGATGAGACTGTCCGATCCTCAGATATCCAGTTGTAAAGCCCGTATTGTATAACGCGTGTTCGCGTCTTCACACAAGCAAATTGACTTCCTTTGAATCGCCATCAATCCGTGTTCGTGAAAATTAATGCCTGAACTGGAATCGAGGACGCCTCATCCAGGATCTTCAAACATGGTAAGCCTCTCGTACGATCAGTCACGCTCCGGCATAACATCCGTGGCCACGTATCATGCGAGTTCATCCACTGTGCGTTAATACACGATTCGCTGATGAAGACTAATGCGCTAAATATCGTGGAAACTATATCTGTTGGAAACTATATAAGTGCTCGCTGGTCTTGATGCCCCCCGCTCCTCCCCCCCCCCCCGTTGGCCGAAGTGACAAATCTTAATCTTTTGCGTGCGTTTAACGTATTCGCCTTTCTTATACTTTTCTCAGCCGCCAATTTATTCATCTTCTTGAAATCTGACGTTATTCCTCGCCGTCGGAATTTTATATTGTCGCCGCTTCAACAAATTTAGAATTTGAAATTGGCGAAACACGTTTTCATTTTGTCTGAGAAATATTTCGAAAATAAATATTTAATAAAATATTTCTTACGGATAAGCAAAAAACTTGCGTTATGTGAGTCGTAAAAATATTCACGCTTAGATGAACAATATTTTGGAAATGCAAAATATAAGGTATTGACGTCACGGATGGCATTCCCAAGAATGGCGCAGTGATAGCCATTGTAAATAGTACGATCGACGGAACAGAACGATTCAGAAGAAGAAAAATAATTCAACCATCGCAGCGAAAGTGTTATCGTATATTTGATATACAAGAAGATTCCATGGTAGTAAATGTTTGATAACTCAGTAAAAATATCACAGTAAACAAAATTAGAAAGAGATATAAATGGAAATAGAATAGAAAAATAGAATAGAAAATAGAATAGAAAAAAAATAAAAAAAGGGAAAAACTAAATCTCAGTACTGTAGAGAAGACCAATACAATTTTACGAGTCAAAAAAAGTTCCTATGAAAAAAACAATACGATTCGATTTGTCCAAACTTTGGATTCATTTTTGTTCCATTGTAGTCTTTGAGATTATTTTCACGCATCGCACGTGAAAAAATAGCAAAATCATCGCATCTAGATAATTATCTTGTTTCGATCGGTCGGTCAGTTCTATCTAACCTTTGATATTATATAAATCTATACATAAACATGACGAATTTATAATTTATTAGAATAAAGAAGATTGTAAATAAGATTGAAATACTATGTCATATAATTATTTGTTTTTATAAGACGTGAACTTTACCTTATGCAAAGATTCGATAATGTTCTTCCGATGAAATTCCCGACGTAATAAATAATAAATAAAAAGTTATATATACTTCATAATAAGGCGTGACACGTGTATTTCACAAGGCATAATTTACTTCTGTGAGGCGAAGTTATAAAAAAGTTGCGGTATGCATCAGATACTAGAGGCGTCGTTATAGAACTCGACCAGTTCGTTCAAGAAGATCGAAAGCTCGTAAACTGCAGCATTGGAATAAGTCACGTACTGTATCCAATTGTATCGAAGCTAGTATGCGAAGTCGCATACGTAACTCATACTCTCAATGAGGAAGTGAAATGGCCCGCAATAAAGAGACTCACAGATCCCGATTTTCCACTTTCCAGATCGTTAACCACATATGGTAGGGCAGTGTGTGTGTGTGTGTGTGTGTGTGTGTGTGTGTGTGTGTGTGTGTGTGTGTGTGTGTGTGTGTGTGTGCAGCGTTGGATTAACTGAGAAGTAAAGAAAAAAAAAAGCTACATCACTTATGTAAAGAGATTTGCTTTTTAAAGAGAATGCATTAAATAATTATAGAACATAGGCATCGAAGCGATGGTGACTGACTTGCATTGATTTAAGATACATTGAATTGTTTTCAGATCATTTTTGTATTTATTTATCGGACAATAAGCATTAAAATTTATTGCATCAAAATTTATTATAAAATTGCATAAATTCATTGCGTATACAAATTCTAATGATCGTCAAGAGATCTAATGAATTGTGAGATGAAGCTAATTTTTGTTATTATTATTGCATAAAATAATTTCTATACTCACCTTGTTTTTGACAGAAGAACTCTTCAATTAATCAAACATTTCCGACATAATTCCGTGTAATATATTCGTTAGATGTTAATAACTTCATTCTCTTCCGCTAAGATTACATTTTTGCGTTTTTGCATATTTACAACATTTTTCTTTTTCAGGCTGAAGTGATATTGGACATTCCGACAGCTGCTGCGGAGGAATCTGATGTTTGCCGCATTGACATGCAAACAGCTGTTTCAGCTGTTTCCGAATTACGTGAGTATATCCTTCCTCTTGAATTTTAATTGAGCAATTAAAAAGAGAAGCTAGGAATTATATATAAAATAAAATTGAAAATTAAAATGAAGCCGTAATGAAGTTCTAAGGAAGTTGTACGTACAATTCTTGGGAAAATCAATGTAATTCAACGATATGTAGATATCATTCTCTCCCCATTAAAAGCTTGTTTCTATAAAAAATTATTATGCGTGTTAATACACAGATTGCAACTGAGTATAGTACGTGAATATCAAGAGTCATAGATGTAACTTGCACGCATTTTCGACGAGTAAATACACAGGGTATATTGATCCAGAAAGAAACTTCACATTGTCTATTTGACCTTTTCAATCTTGATATGCATATGAAATCATTGTAACAGCTAAGTTTTGGTGCAGAGGTATTCGAGTCTCAGCAATTGAATTTTCTTCTAACTGTAGGCCAGCTCAATTTGATGGAAATCCTCTAACTACGTCTTTAGTTGCATAAGGACGATCTAAAAATAGACGAGACAATGATAAATCATTGAGGAATAGTGCATAATGACAAATAATTATTGTAGCACGTGATAGCAATAATTGCCGAGAGCCATCGACGTTTTACTATTTGCGGCTAACAAGAGGTCTCTTATACATTATTATTTTCCGGTAGCAATTGCTGAGTAATTTATGGTACATCTGATCTGTTGACTTGTTGTATGTGCCGGCCATTTTCTAAGGCCAAATTCATTTGCACCTTCTCTTGCAAAGATGTTCGAACTTTGGAATCTCCTACAAAGATCCAATGATCTTAGCTATTTCTTTATAACGGAATTTCAAAGTCCACGCAGCTTTAAGGTTCGACTTAAAAAGATACTGTTTTAAAGTCCTAAGGTCAAATTCATTTGCATCTTCTCTTGCAAAGATGTTCGAACTTTAGAATCTCCTACAAATTTTCAATGGTCCTATTTTTTCCTATCCTATCCTTTCCTAATCCTATTTTTTTATTATGGATCTCAAGATCCACACAGCTTTAAGGTTCGACTTAAGATACTATTTTAAAGTCCACCTTATCCCCACCAACATATCTTTTGCATCGCCACTGGCCTTACCTTAGACATCAAAGATCCAGTCTCGAACCCGCCAACTTCGAGGGAACACTTAGTATTTCGAGCATATCGAGTGCGACGACAACTACAACAATAACAACAAATCACAATTAAATTCGTAAAATATACATAATATCACGAGGATTATTTTTTTCTATCTCGTGAAAGTTGCACGACATTATTGGAAATATTATTAAATAAAATAATAATAATAATAATAATTAGTACGCTCGCAATAAAAAAAATATAGTAATTATAGAAGAATATTCCGTGTGAAATGTCGAACAATTGTGTGGATACGCTCAAAGGAGAATGTGTAAAGATACAAGTGCAACCAACGCATAATTCTCATTCCAATGGTATGTTTCTTTCGTTATCTGCCGGAGTAATCGCTTCCACATTTATAAACAATTAATATCTTGGATTTTAATTGCAAATAGAAGCACGACGTATTTGATGCGTGACATGTATAGTGCTATAAAAACAGATATTATCTTTAATGCCGAGATATTTAATAAGAACATCAAATCTTTTTGAAGGGATAACATTAAATAGAAACCCATTCTTCGCACAAATGTTATGTGCATTTTACTTTCCCTTCATTCGACGCTCAATTATTTAAATGTCAAATGTGCTGTTCTTATTTCCATGTTTACCGATATCTATTGATTTTAATTTTAATCTCAGTTTAATTCATGTTTTATTTTGTTTTAATTTTTAAAACTAGGAAATATAAAAATAAAAATAAATAAAATAAATAAAATATAAAAAATAAAAGTATAGAAAATAAGTTCAACTGAGACTAAAGTTAATCTGCATTCGTAAGCAATCTGTATTAGTCGTCAAATGTTTGACTTTTCCGTACCATACATTATGATAAAGATATCAAACAGAAAATTTTCTCATAAAGTTTTATTCCATAAAAATATTTAGATATCATACGCAGTTGTATAGCAACTTTGAATAATTAGATTAATTAGGACAGCCATACGTATCCAGCGCGAGTTTTGTCTTCTGATTCATGCGTATAATTTTAACGTTCATCCGTCATTTTTAAATTCCTCTTAGAAATTACCATCGAATTTTTTTCAGTGGAAAATATTACCTTGTTCTATCAAAAAGACTCCCAGGACAATCGAAGCGAGAAAACAATAAAGCGATCTTGTTAAAAGCTCATCACAGAACCATCTCCGTCAGAGACATAAGAAAAAGACATTAAAAAGACATTAAAAATCGCTTAATAGCCTTGTTGTTGAAATAGGCGAATAGGTGAGGCAACGTGCGCTCTTTCATAAATGTGTAAACGCCTAGCCGAGGAAAGAGATTTATTACAAATCGCAAAAGCGAACGGAGACTTCCGGGAGAAAGTAAAGCGCGTAACATCTACGGAACATTCCGCCGGGAAATGAGAAAATAGTGGTCCGTTTCCGAATCGTTCCACCCTGCGAATCTAACTTCCACCCTTCACTTTCGCCGCGATCCGCCGTTCGTTTTAGTCTCTGGACCAACTCGGACCTGCGCGCGTGTGGGAACTTGACAAGTAGCGCCTTCTAGTGGTAAGACCGCGCGATTAGTCCACACGCCGATACATGTGTTATCGCTAGACTGCGGAGTCGCTCTTCCTACACAAGCCAACGGGACAAAGTAATATTATTTTTTTTTTCCCACTTTGACCGTTTCTTTCGTCCTTCTCCCTCTTCACTCCCCGTCTTTGCCAGACAAAAACCGTCTTTCCCCCGCCTTCCAATTTTTTCGAAGCGTCGAGAGATAACCAAAGACACCTTGATCTCTTACACCGCACTTTGAAGCTTAGTATTTAACACGTCGATCTCGAACGTACATCACTCACGAGGAATCCAGTCGCGTTCTGACGTCAACTCGACGGTCAGTTCATCAACGCCAAGCGAAGAATCCACAAGTGTCCGCGATAATGGGTAAGAATGAATCCTGCCTCCCGACACTCCGTTATTCGTTTCCGCGTAGCGAGAATGATCGGTTCTTATTGCCTTAATCTTTCTCTCCATTTGAAAATCGTCGGTGACGCGGTTCGCCCGAGATCGAACTCCGCACGATCATCCAATGGCGTCAACGTCTGTGAAATTTATACGACATTCCGCGTCTCTGACGAGCACTATTCATCTCTATGTAAATTAACTTTAATCTCGGTTTAAATCCACTCTTTAGCTTTCTCTCTAATTTTTCAAATTTGAAAAAGAAGAAAAGCAAATGAAGTTTCTAATCGAGAACACAATGTACTCGATGCTCCATGCCGAAAATGATGTTCTTGATGCGAGATTAGGATGACGTTCCGATATTCATTGTGTGCTAAAGATATATAATTCCTGTCACATATATTATACATTTCTAGGACTGGAATCTGAGAAGCCTGCGTATTCTTTCTTACTTGAGATATTGAAACTCGAATTTATCATTGTGTTATCGCGATGAATAATAATCGTTGAATGGAATAATCTGTATCTGAACAGTTATGGAAGAAAATAGGATAAAACTTGTTGCGTAATAATTTATGATATGTTTAATTTATGCCACGTGATATTCATTATTTCTTACATGCTTGCTTATCGACAAAATTGTAACTTGTGCGATACGTGCTCACGTGCTATGTACGTGACGTTATCATATCATAACAAAACACGTTTTTAAGACGAGGTCGAGTCGATTTTGCATTTCTATGATTGATTTCGATTTTGTATGTCGTAATGCATTTCGTTATGCATTTTGTCTTTATTCTCTTCGTTTTTGTTTCTTCTCGATGGGAAAACTTCGACGCTAAAAATGGATTAACGTCTTCCCCGAAAATGTTACATTAATTAACATTAATTAATTCGAATGAGATGAACGATGATTCTCACGAAGTAAGTTTCTCGATTTTACATAGAAACTAGTTTTTAACAGGATTATTTCGTAAGATTATCTTAAGATTATAAGTATATCGTCGAAAATAAAATTTGTTTTATCTCTACACTTGTTTTATCTGTTACACGAATTTGATATTAAATATCTTCTACAATTGTAAGTCATTTTATCAAATTTTTACTTAAGCAAGTATTTATTATCTGAGAAATTAAAAAATTTTTAATTTTTCACACACACACACACACACACACACACACACACACACACAATTATTCTTTGCTTATTGGGAATGATTGTCACAGATATTACAATATTATACAATATCGACTGATAGAAGATTTTCAATATTTGAATCTGCGTTTAATATTTTACTTGAATAAAAATAAATGTCAATTCCGAGATTGTTAAAATGATTTCTTCGCTTATTGTTTTTATTCTTTCTTCACGTGTGATTTATCTCTTCATTTATACGAAGCGAACGAATACATAAAATTTCATTTTTATTTAATGAGAAAATCTTTTGTTATTATAAACATTTTAAATGATGACATCTAAATGTCAATACAATTTTGAAAATCTTTAATAGAATAATGAAGCGCGTCTCGCACGCGTCTCCTTCTGATTCACGCTCGATAATTTAGAGACTTCGAATGTGCATTAATTCTAATGTTATCTTCATTTGAAAATTACCATTTCAGAAAATAAAAAAAAACTCTTTACGCCGCAGGAAATCCTATTACGCAATTCAAATGCCAACTCCAAAACACCCTGTATTTGGATTACTTGTTGATTTCTTATGTTGTAATACAGACGTGAAGGTTAACTCGTGACGTGCAAATCGGTTTAATTTACATAATTCTTTTTATGTAAATTAAGAATGGATAATTTTAACCTCCCTGGATATCCTGTGTCGTAATGAGTAGCTGAAAAGTTTTGCGCAAATATTTATTTGAAATTATATATTTTGTTTCAGCGCAAACGTATGAGAAACCAGCACCTGTAAATTATGTTGAAGTAAGCAAATTGATTGATGTTTATAAAAATTGTTTTTCTTGTATTAATGTTGTTATATCTTGTCATATCTTCTTCTTGAACATACGCTAAATAAATTAGAATCTTTGTTATTATGTAAAAAAAAGTATAATATAATTCGGGTCTCAACATCTTACTTATCGAAGAATCATTACAGCTAGTTCAACACTCACGGGATGCATTTAACAGTGGCAAAACAAGACCGATAGAATGGAGAATCAAACAATTGAAACAAGTCTTACGTATGCTATCGGAATGCACCTCAGAGATAATAGCAGCATTGGCATCAGATTTGCATAGAGTATGATTACAATGATTGCAATAATCATTTCATTATGAGTCTAATGCATATTAGTCCAATACATTATTTTCTTTTAACAATGAGCAATTAATTTTTTTAGTGCAAATTTGAAACGTGCGCATTGGAAATTGATTATACAATTCAAGAGATTAACTATGTTCTCATGAATATTAAGCAATGGGCAGCAACAGAGAAGGTAGTTATCTGAGCGCGATTTTTTGTTACATAAGAATGAATCTCGATTTTACTTCTGTTCAACAAGCAGTTTTATTAGCATAAAGAAAATTTGAAATTTTACAATACTTTAGCCAACCAAGTCATTGGCGAACTTTTTCGACAAAGTAGAAATCCGGAAGGATCCTTATGGAGTTGTATTAATTATGGGTGCGTGGAATTATCCTCTTCAATTGAATATATTACCTATGATCGGCGCTATCGCAGCTGGAAACTGCGTGATTGTGAAACCTTCCGAGATTGCAGGGGCAACAGCGAAGTTCTTGTACGAGACCATTCCGAAATATTTAGACACGGTGAGGTGATACTATTTATATAATTTTTTCCTAAAATTTGTGAATCAAGATATTATTCTTTGTGCAATTCTCGGAAATTCTAAAAAAGGCTAATATATATTTACTCGATCATGAATTGCACTTATGATGTTATTAGATGTTTCTAGAAAATTATACGTTATTCGTTTAAATATAATATCGCTGGATATCATAAATATATACAGGAATAGGATATACAGGATCATATTTTATAATTTTACAATATTGATAATTTTAAGTCCTCATATTTTACAAGTATTTGTAATTTAAAAATATATTTTACAAGTTACTGTTTTACAAAACTTTCTTCTGAAATAAAATGCTACAAAGATTATTATTTAATTGTTCGAAAATTTTCACTGTAGCAATTTGATTCGTAAATTTTGGAATATTATGTAAATAGATTATTCCATTATATTATTATTTTTATTTTTTAAATTAAAGAAAGTGGACCATCAAATTGAAATTGAAATTGAAATTGATTGAAATTGAGGCTTGAATTCTATTGAGAAAATTGAATTCTTTTATAAATCTTTTATAAAAGAATTCAATTCTCTCAATAGAATTCAAGCCTTTTCTTTCTTTTTATTCTGTTGTATAATGATGACTCATAGAAATTTGTTCAAGAATACAAAAGCTACTTTGTTTCTTTTTCTTTCCTCTAGTTACAGTTAATATCTATTAATTACAGTTTATATTAATTTGAAAAAGATTGCTACTTTTATTCTGCGATTTGTCCATATTATTAATAAATTAAAATTACCTCTATGTTTTTAACACTGGTAGTTTTTATGTGTTATGATATATATTTTTTCATGATTGCAATGAAATTCCGAGTTATTAAATTTGATCTCTATTTTTTTGTCTTATTGTCTTTCTTCTTTAGTTTAAAAAAATAAAAGAATCACTTATATCATGTGATTCTGTTCATCGATATCTTGCTCATTAACAAGACTAATAATTTAACTGATCGTGTTCTCTTTGAACAGGACTGTTGTCGTGTAATAATGGGAGGAATCTCAGAAACGACAGAGCTACTTAAGCAACGTTTTGATTATATTTTTTATACTGGATCTTCCGCCATTGGAAAAATCGTACGGAAAGCTGCTAATGAATTTCTTACTCCTGTTACATTAGAGCTGGGTGGCAAGAGGTAAGCGATATATTAGAAAAAATTAGATATATATATACAAAATGTGATTTTAATTATATTACTTGAAAACTTTTATATCGCATGGAATTGCGTTTAAATAATGACGATTTGTGCAGCCCCGTGTATCTAGATAATACAGTGGATATAACAATGGCAACAAAACGCATTTTATGGGGTAAATGCATCAATGTCGGTCAAACTTGTATTGCGCCCGATTATTTGTTATGTACACCCGAGGTACAGAATAAATTTGTCGAGGAAGCTAAGAAGATTCTACAGGAATTCTATGGAGATAATCCGCGAGAAAGTCCTGATTTGGCACGTATTATTACGGACAAACATTATCAGTAAGTTCTATGCATACTGCAACGTTTGCAATTTTAATTATTTTAAAATAATTTGATCACATACGACAACATTAACTATTTAGGCGACTCGTCAATTACTTGAGCGATAAAAGTAAAATTGCTGTTGGTGGTAATGTAAATCCCGTAGAAAAGTTCATCTCGCCTACGATACTCGTTGATGTCAAACCAACGGATCCCATTATGCAGGATGAGATATTTGGACCAATATTGCCTATAATAAACGTTAATAATGCTTATGAAGCAATTAAATTCATCAACAGTCGGTACGTTATTTAATTGCAATGATCATAAGTACAGAATGTATGAGTAACAATTAGATCCCTTCTAAAGTATCGTGTTTTTTTTTATTTGCTTCTTAGTGGAATCATTTAATTAGTCGAACTTTTAAAATCTAAATTTTTTATTCAATAAAAAATTTGGAGAATTTTATTCCATACATTAAATATAGTTGGAAAAAGAGAAAAACTGTCGTGGAATAAACTTTTATGTTCATCTTTCATACACTCATATTTCACATTGACGATTTTTTTTTTGCGCGAGGGAGCATGAAGGGGCGTGAAGTAATTAGTTTTTCGCAATGTAGTGAAAATCCACTTGTACTGTACATATTTTCTACGAGCAAGAGGGTACAAGATCTAATTATAGACCAAGTCAACAGTGGAGCCGTGTGTGTCAACGACACGATATTACAATATATTGGTGAGTTCGGGTTTTAGGTGACGATAGTTTTTCTTTTTATTTTATTTCGGCCTAGTTTTATTTATTATTTAAGAATTTCGGTGAAAGTAAGAGCTTGTTATAAGGACTAATAAATTTCTTCCCATCGTATTTTTCAGTATTATTTTGTTTTTATATTTGTGATGTTATTATTAGTTACATCAAAATAAAAAAGTTTTCTATTAGAAGAAAATGTAAGATTATAGATATGATATATGAATTGATCAAATTATTTATGGGAGAGGATTTTCTTTTATTAGAATGGAGGATATTTTTCTTTTAGGATGGACATGTTCATTTTTCTGGTTAAAACAAGTAATATGTTGCATGTTCTCTTTTGGTTTAGGTGATTACTGCTGAAGAAGAATTCTTTTACTATGTCTTTCTTTTATGGGATAAGATAGGTTTTCTAGTTG